AAATATATATATATATATATATATATATATATATATATATATATATATATATATATATATATCATAGGTAAGCTGTCTACGTCACACCATCTTATGTTGCGATCTTTCCTCTGACCCTACGTGAACCCCGAATACTTTTTGCACCAGTTTTTTTTTTTTTTTCCCTTGTAGATCCTAGTTTAATATTATACTATCCGAAATTGTTCATTATACTCTTCGTTTGATTTTTGGTCCATTTATATCCTTGCGGTTAACAAAAATTATTTCTATTAATTCTTGTCATTAACAAAATGGGTTGCACGTTTTTGAATTCTTCGAGGAAAAAATTCAAATTTATGCATCAAGCTTTAATTATTATTTAAATTTACTGTTTTGGAGCTCAATTAGAGGTCAAGGGGAAAAAATAGATTTTTATCTATGTTTTAGACTAAAAGTATTATCTATTGTTACTGCTTTCTTTTTCTTTCCTTGAGCCGAGAGTCTATTGGAAACCGTCTCTCTACCCTCATAGGTAGGGGTAAGATTTGCGTACACACTATTCTCTTCAAACTCCACCCGTGAGATTATACTTCGTTTGTTGTTGTTTGTAATTTCGAACAGTACAAGTATAAATTTGATCCTTTACCTTCTTAAATATGGATGGATTAGGATATACTGATAATTCATATAAGGATTTAAGAATCATAAGTCGTAAATTAATTGATTGATATATAAAAGTATAGAACTATTAAAATAATAGGAGAATAAGATTGATAAACTATCCCTTTGGAACAAGATCCAAAGAAAAAAGGAGACAAAAATGCAATATTTTTGGTTATTCAAGACCCTAATAGTATTTTTTTTATTATCTCGAACAGATACCAATAATTGAAAAAGGACAAATTTGCTGAAATTATTTTTGCAAGTTGTAACTACTTCATTAATTAGGATGAGTTCACTCTATATGAAAATAGGTAGCACAATACTAGGAGCATTGAGTCATATAATGAGAGTGACAAGAAAAAATAAGATTTATTTATCAGTAATATGGTTAGATATTTGAAATTCCAAATAAGTAGTAATTTAATATAAAGGCAACGTAATCATGCTTACTCAGACAGAGTCAATAACGATTAAAAAATGCCGACGGTCTGTTTAAGTTGATGATTCTATTTGACTTTCGTTTTTTGGATTTTTACCGATTAATCGATATTCATTTTGAAGCTCCGACTAATTTGGATTTGCATCCCATAAGGTTCGTAAAAGGGGGAAGTGTTTCTTACAAAAAGAATTTCCATTTCCAAGACTCGAGTACGAGATCTCTAAAAGAGATCTTATTTATCTCACCACAACCTACGATAATACTCTTGATGTGACTTAAAAAGAATGGTCGCTTAAAAGTCTTTACACAAATTGTTTAAACTAACAATAATTTGTGAAAGCAGGAGCCTAGGTTTGTGCAGGCCTTATTTTGAAATACAATTTATAACATACATACATACATACATACATATATACCATGAAATTTAATGCATTGGTGCAAAAATATATGCACAATTATATTTTTAAATAGTCTTGCAGGTAATTATATTTAATCAATATTGATATATAAGTAATTGTTATGAAACAACTAAAGAAGAAGAACAATATTGCAGAGAAAAAGAAAGAGAGAGGATTCTTATTGATTTTGGGATGAATTACAATATAATAGAACCCTCTATTTATAGGGAGAGGGTGACTTAGCCACCAAGCAATGAACCCTATAATCTCTCTAAATATAGACATTCACCATAATACAATTCTATTTATAACGCTCCCCCTTGAATGCCTATTCAACAGATAATGTGCCTCGTTAAAACCTTAACTAAAATAAAACCCAGTGGAAAAAAAATTCTAGTAAAGGAAAAAGAGTACACTTATCTAACAATACGCCTTTTGGTTGCCTCGTTAAAAACCTTGCAAGGAAAACCCAGTGGGACAAAACCTTGTAAGGAAAAAGAGTACAACCCGTATTAACTCCCCCTG